GTTGATAAGTCAACAATTGAGAACTCCAATTTTAATGCAAGCAGGATGACCAGATTTATAATACATGGATTTGTAGACAATGGAGAAGAACACTGGCTGTCAGACATGTGCAAGGTATGTACCACAGGAACATCCTGTCCCTGGGAGGTACCTTAGTTTGCATTTATAAACACATTCCTAAAAATTGTCTGATTTCCCTGTTTCTAACCAATTTTTCTCATGATATTTGAAGTGATAAGAAAGGGGGAAAAGGTGACATTTTCAAATTGTTATCAACTTAAATATGTGGCTTTGCACCTTGAGGAAAAGCATGAGGTAAAATCTATAAGGTTCTTCTCTTTACCGAAGTGACAACAGGATTTGACTCCATAAGTGTCCTTTTTCTTGGTAAAAACAACACAAACCCTGGATAAAGATACTGCTTAGGATCTAGGATGATTCCAGAAAAAACTGCAGACTCAGAGCTGCTGAATCCTGTTTCTCCAGAGAAGGAACAGGTTTCTAGATATGGAAGTTTATCACAGAGGCTTGGGCTGCCGTGTGGGTGTTGGGGGCTGTTTGGGGTGGCCATTATCAGAAGCAATAAAGCTGCAGAAATGATATCCAGAAGGGACCTCAAGGGGAGCATTTCAAACAAAGCTTTCAATCTAACACTATGAACACTGAATGTAGTAAAGCACTCTGCTTTATTGATTTTTCTGCTAATTCCACAAATTATTTCTTAACCCTGTCCCCACACAAAGTGCAAATCCAGCTTGTGGTTTTCTCAAGTCCTCCAAACATGCTTATGTGGCAGCTGCAGCTAATGAAAGCTACTGGTCATACAGCAGAGAGCAAATCCCAGTTGATGGCACTTGCATGATATGTTTTTCAAAAAACTATTAACATAACTACAATTTTTTAAAATTATGTGTTCCTATTTTACTTATGAGATCACTATGATAAACAATGTGAAACTTAAATCAAGGCGTTTCACACTTATTGTGTCCCCACTGCCTGCTTTTCTTTGATACTAGGTAAAAAGAAAAAGAGATTAAATTTATTTGTCACTTTCTCTTGAAAAAAAACTATGTTGATTATCACTTTATGAAAATTCACAAATGACTGTTGGATTTGTTAGTTAATAATTTGATTACAGTATTAGAAACATAGTGATGTTTTCACACTTTTCTCTCTCCCCCTTTCCACTCTTAAAATAGAGGGTTTTTCCTAGAACTTCCCAGTCAATGAGATAGCTCACAATTTCCTTCAGATGGTACCTTGAACCCATTTGATCAATTTTCACAAGGATGTAGAGGCTTGAGATAAATCCTTAATTTTTTTCTCCACGATGGTGGCCTATGTTTTATCACAACACTCCAATTTATTTATATTTAGAAAAAATTTGGTCTCAGTGAATCTTTTTAAAAAAGAATGGAGCAAATGGGATTGTGAATACATCAACCCTTCTATGTGTATCTGTTACTTACTTTCCTTCCCATTAAGCAATAATCCTATCTGCACATTGATTTTTATTACTTCTAACATGGTCACAGACACTTCTATTGCCTTTTTTATCCTTTGCCCGTTGTAACTGGTTTTGGATGCTTTATAATGTCTGAACACAAAGCAAAGAAGAATAACTATACATAAGCTTCTAAAGCAAAATACTTTTAGCCAAACAATCCAGCTCAGTGGAGAACAATAAAGCTTCTCATTCTGTGGTAGACAATAAGGCATCTGCCTGCATATATTTTTATATATATATCTATCTCCAAATAAAGTCATAAATCTGGAAGGGATATTCAGGGACACCATCAGTTTATGCACCCTCTTATAAAAAAGCATTCTCTTTTCTAAAAATCTGCATCAGAAAAACACTGTTGATTTTTATAATCAAAAATGTAAGTTCCAATTCAATTTTAATTAAATAAGTATTTTTAAATCACTGAAGTGAATCAGTACATAAGTAGAGCTCTTAGTGTCATGTACAAAGTTTGATTGAAAATAAAAATTAAAAGTATCACTATTGATATTGTTTTCCCTTCTATAAAAAATACTGCTATAGGCATTTGAAATACTGCTATAGGCACAAATGATTGTGGCCATTCCTACAGCACATCACCCTATTTCAGCATTGTGTGAGCACACACGCCACTGTGAGCAGGCACAACCACACCCATATGCTACAGGTTTTGGTTCTTAAAAGGTTGTCATACAAGTTCACACAAAATATATGAGTTGAGCTGTAATAAGCAACATGACTCGATTCCATATTGTATTTACCATGGGTTTTGCTCTTGTTTTACGAAACAGAGGATGCTTACTGTGGAAGATGTGAACTGCATCTGTGTCAACTGGAAGAGAGGTGCACGATGTCAGTACACCCAGGCAGCGAACAACATCCGTGTTGTAGGCGCCGAAATCGCTTATTTTGTAGAAGTTCTTATGGTAAGAGTATTCTGTATACAAAGCTATAGCTATAACACTGATTTGAAAGAAATATGGTACTGGAACTTCCATGAATGTGGATGTAGCCAGCAGAAAACACTGTCTTCTACTCCACAATCATTTCAGTTGTGCTGAAACCAGACCTTTTCTTAAAAGAACTGTTCTAGACAACCTAGAGATAGGAAGTTCAACAAGATATTGCCACAGTACAGCCAGGCAGAAATAAAGGACACAGAAAACTGCTTCTTTTGGAGACAGAACCTACCAAAACCTACTAAAGAGCTCGTAAGAATGCCAGAAAATAAGCTGCCAGTCAGCAGAGGCTGGAGGACAACTACTCTCAGGGAGCAACAGTGGCTGGGGACAAGCAGGACCCACCAGGGAAAGCCACGGTGGACAGTACCCAACCCTACAGGAGGTGCCACATGCCCACTTTTGTAGGCAGCTTCACATGGGAAGTGATGCTTGGTTTGAAGCCTTCTTTTAATCTAATTGCTTTCAACACATATTTCCCCCCAAATAACTATAAATTACTAAAAACAGAGAGCATGCTGGGCCTAGGAGTGCTCTGACCCATGTCTCACTCTCTACATCTGCATTGCACCTCCTGAGTTACTGTCCAAAAAGGCTGAGGACATCTGTCCTCTCATGTTCTCCCCCAGCTGCATGTGGTGCCCAACCTGTCAGGTGCAACTCAGAGTTCCTGCCTGGCTGATTCTCGTAAGCCAGATACGCATTCTGTGAATCTTAACAGGCCTGGAATGTGACACAGGTACAGAGCCTCTCAGAACAGAACTGTCTAGAGCTGGAACAGCCTCCAAAGGCAGGGAGCACCTGAATAAGGAGTTTTGAAAAATCTATGTATTGAACATAAGTAACTATACAGGCAAACAGATGCTGAAATCCTATAAGAGTTCCTTATAGGAAAGGAGTCAGTGGTCCAATTAGAACTAGTTTTTCAACCCCTTTTTAGTCTTCCCTATTGCTGATGAAAAGAGATGTAGCAATTTTTCTTTGCTGTTGTTTTCCCAGGATGAATATGGATACTCTCCAGCTGACGTCCACATAATCGGGCACAGCCTTGGAGCACATGCTGCTGGTGAGGCTGGCAGGAGGAGGCCAGGGATTGGAAGAATAACTGGTAAGTCAGTGACTTCAGCCACCAAACAAAACGTTGCTGCTCATTTTCTCTTCTGGTTTTATCCATGGGCTGCAGGGTAGCCAAGGTAATTTGAGTATTATAGAACTCAGCCTCTTATGGTACACCAAGGAGCAGTGCCCTGATAAGTGTGGGAAAACAGTCAGCATGATGATTATTTTGCTTGCACATGTGTTACACAGCAAAGGAAATTTTCTAATATGTTCAGTCCTTCCAGAGGTAAAGCTATGGGTTTGATCTCCTTATTCATCACACAGGCAGCACCAAGGGCATTGTGCATTAAGCAGAGTGACCTTGCATGCATAAAAGACAATTTTGGATATTATTAACACAACCCTTTTCAATTGGTTACTTTTCCTCAGGGATTTCAGGCTTGGTGAACCTTGGACTAATAGTCTACAAAAGTCAGTTTAAAAGCAAACCCTAATGTGTTGCCCAGGGACAAGAAAAGATGCAACTATAAGTTGGCAATAATTGTGTAATTTGCAAAACTTTACAACCTCCTGAAATTGCTGCAGCAATTTGAGAAGCAAATCAATTCTATTTTCTGCTAGGCTCAAAAGCAAAGATCATCATTTCAAAACAAGATGTTTTTCCCAAAATCTGACTGGAGCCAGAAGTAGGCAGGCAGGTTTCAAAACCTTCAAACACACGGGGTGCTATCAGCTGAAATTCCTCTTTGAGTACTCTCAACCAAGGTGGGCTAGAAACCACATGAGTTATATGGCATGCAGATACAGCAACCTCAGTTTGAACAACATTATTAAAGGGAAGTTCAATTAAATTAAAAAAAAAAAAGTTATTTCCAAGGGTTGGGATTCAATATTGGTGTAAATATATAAATTAGTAAAATCTAATAGGTTTCACAAAGGTAACCCTTTTGATTTCCAGGAAGAAAAGCCACTTGGAAAGAGAGAGCACACATCATCATTTCATTAATGCCTATAGTACTTAGTATGAGGAACCCTAGGCAACTGTATGTTGATAATCATTATATATAATCAATCAGTGTTACGTAAAATGATTCTACATCTACTTCTCTTTCTATACATAACACTAGGCTTTTTCATTCAGGACTGGACCCTGCCCAACCTTATTTTCAAGGCACTCCAACTGAAGTCAGACTGGATAAATCTGATGCAGACTTTGTTGACATTATCCATACAGACTCAGCTCCCACAATCCCCAACTTAGGTAAGTATTCAGGTCTACTGTATTAATACTGAATTATTTATGCCCTACAGCACTTGAGTAGTCTAATTGTTCATCAAGACTCTGTTGTGCTGTCATAGACACAGAACAAATACACCATACTGGTCACTAACAGCTCCTAAAACACTATGCACAGACAAACTTGAAGCCAGCAGCTACAGGTATGAGACAATGTTAATTTAAAGCATGCTTACCAATGTTTTAAATGCTTCAGGTTTTGGCATGTCCCCAGCAATAGGACATATTGACTTTTATCCAAATGGAGGAGAGCAAATGCCGGGGTGTGGGAAGAACCCTGTCTCACAGATTGTAGATCTTGATGGCATCTGGGAAGGTAAGCATGTTGATTCCATTATAAATTCATGGGTGTGTCACCTGTCACGGTGTAGCCACTTAACTGTCTCTAATTCAGGTGTTTTGCATTAGCTCTTGGTGTGTCCACCGGCAATGGCAGCTGCAGGGCACAGCAAAACTATTAATAGGCTCAAAACACACAATTTTTCAGAGCTCATTAAAAAATAAACAAGACAAAGGGTTTGCCTTTGCAAAATATGTCTCCTCTAAAGTATCTAATAGCAGAAACAAAAGTTACTGGAACTGTGCCAAGAAATTTAGAAAGGCCTGTAGCACACATTGCACTTCGTGTCTAGTTGCTCAGCAGCAGCACTGGTGGAGTAGGGCAAGGATGTTCACAGCTGCTCCTGTTAGTGTATCTTCAGCTGAAATTCTTCTTCTGAGATAGAACAATTAATTTAACTCTTTTTTAAGTTACCGATTACAATCCAAGTTGCCCTGAAGTGATGTTATTGTGTCTACTTTTAGCCAGCTAAAAAAAGATTGGCACATAGCTGCTCAAATACACTGTTCTTTGTTGTTTTATATGCCTCCAATAAAATCTCTGAGTATTACAAAATTTCTGTGTCTATCTACTTAAATTGTACATAATGTTAAAAAAAAATAAAAAAACCCCAGAAGATTTCTGCTGTGGAGATTTTTCAGTATATTATCTGAGTTCTTTCTTAAACCCTGGGAATCCATGAACTGATTTGTGATGACTAGCCTTTTACTCCATCTTTTATTAAATGCAGCTGGAGGCATTACTTTTTCTTTCGCCTTTTTTTTTTTGATAGAGTAAACTTGTTATTAATAGTGGGGAATTAAAGCACAAAGAAATAACTGCATTGTATATGATCTTCTTTTTAACCTAAAGATAGGAAAATAAAGGCAACACAAAGAAAAATAATATAATCATTATTTTAATCTTAAGAGTCTCCTTTCTTAAGCACTCCCCAAACAATAATTTTGTTTTGAAGTCCTCAGCTGGGGCAAATCAGCATTGCCTTAGGAAGTTCACTATTAAATACTTTTAATTTGGTTTTCTTTTGTTATGGTAATGCAACTGTTGCCTACAAAAGACGTGCCTCACAAAGTTCTCATTTCTATTTAAACTCGGTCAGATTGCACGAATGAGTGGGTTTTGGGGGGCAGGGGCTGCACTGAGCTGCACAGTCAGTCTCCACAAAGCATTTCAAGTTTGCACTTTATACCTGTTGAGTCAGTGACATTCCTTAGGGCATCAATTCCCCAAAATAAGTAAGTTTCCAACTTTATGTTTGATGCTCCAAGAACTGTGTTAAGGCTTTTGAGCAGGAGTGATGCATCCCAATCACAGGGCAAGGGCTGTGCTGGTATCTTTCCTAGAAGGGTAACAGAAAGGAAGAACTAACCTGGAAGCATCTCTTCACAGGAACCCGGGACTTTGTGGCTTGCAATCATTTGCGGAGTTACAAGTATTACTCAGACAGTATCATCTACCCTGATGGCTTTTTAGGCTATCCTTGTGCTTCATATGATCTTTTTCAATCAGTAAGTATCTCTCAGAGCTTCAGGATGCACCTTATTGAAAATAGTGGCTCTTATCTATGCATCTGAAATTCAATGTATTTATGCCAGCTTGCACCCAATGAATGTATCTGTAAGAGGAGTAGGTGTCAGACGTCCAAAAGTGTTACAGCTTGTGCGGATGACACGGGTGAAAGTAGGAGAAGGCAGTAACAGAACAGGGGCATATCGACTTTGGTGCTGATGTGGCAGCTCTGAAGTACTACTGGAGCCTGTGTGGCTTCCCCAAGCCTGCTCCTCTGCATTGAACTGGGGAAGAGGTAAAGAGAACAGGCTGTCCCTGTAATGGCCAAACGTATTTATCAAGAGCAAGGACTGTGATCCCATACTGTAGCAGGCAAGCCTTCAAACACAGCTTAAGTTTCTTGGGTTTAGAACAAGAAGTAAAATAATATGTGATAACCTGTAGTCCTTTGGTGACTGAAGATGACAAAGCAATGGTTTATGGACCAAGGCCAGGAAGCCCTTCCCTGTCCCAGACTGGGAGACAAAGAATTACAGCCTAAGAGCAGCAGGAAGGTGACAGGCTCATCGTACCCTACAAGCAGCACAGACAGAGGTATAAACTTGCACAGCACTTAGATCAACCTTTACACGTTCTAGCAGGTGATAGAGATCACACTTCTCAGATTGCTTTGGGAGAAGGTGACTACCTGCTTCTGTCACCATACTAGAAAGCTGCTTTCATGATAAAAGCGAGGTTTGTCTTCGAGACAAAGCCTCCCTTGACCCAACCTGAAGCTATAAGGAGACATCCTTCTTTCTCATCAGCTGCTGGGAAGGACACCTCTCTTCCCTGCTCCAGTTCAAGACTACTCAAGGCTGGCACTGATGTGGCTGGCTTGAGCTAAATGCCCCAAGAAGCAACACAGAGCCCTGAAAAATCAGAGCCTTTGAGAAAGTTGGCTAGCTCCCATGATCCTTCTCAAGTCATAGAAAGGTTTACTTGAAATCTGTTGCTGTGATACAGGGCCAGTTAGGTGGGTATATTAAAAATATGTCCTGCGACTAATTTTTTGTTCTTGGCTGGCTGGATAATGTTATTAATAGATATATTTGTTTTCACTAGGGAGAATGTTTTCCATGCCCACAAGAAGGATGCCCAAATATGGGTCACTATGCAGATAAATTCAAAGGGAAAATTACAAAGGACTTCCTCAAACTTTACCTGAATACTGGAGAAGCCAGGGATTTTCCTCGTGAGTTTTGATTCCTTCCATTGCTACCTACTCCTTGTAAAAAAATTTTTAATTTTCCTGCTTTACAATCAATTTTAACAGATGAACAGGTCTCAACATAGTGCAAGGGCTCTTCAGTTCTTCATGCTTTTTCCTGTTTTGCTCCAACACTACTGCCCAGTTTGGGGCCCTCCAGTACAAGAAAGTTGTTGGCAAACTACAGAGTCTAGTGAAGATCACTGACATCTTTAGTGGATTGCACTGCAAGGTGCAAGGAGAAGAAAGGATAGGCAATGCACACAGGTTGCAGCAAGGGAATTTCTTATTAAGTAGTATGAAAATCACAGTCACAATGACAGTGGCTAAAGGCAGGAAGAGGGGTCCAGAGAAGCTGGGAAATCTCCACCTTTGGAGATGTTCAAAACTCCATTTGACAAAGGCCAAGAGCAAGCCAATCTGGCCTGGTTTCAGAACTGGATGGACCAAATGAACCTCATTTACAACTTTAGTTATCCTAAATGTCAGCTCTCAAAACACACTTCTTCCTTTTCCTTTGTAAACACTAATCACAACCTTCTCAAGCTGCTTTTGCTTATTGCACACTGAAAGAAATCACCCGCCCAAAAAATTATTTTCCTTGAGCTTCAGGATTCTTTTACACTGCTTAGATTCTGCATTGATTCCTAACATGGCCTTCTTTCCAACATCACTGTGCATGAAATCCTTCAAAATGCTGAAATCTATATTGTATTTACTATGGTAGGGATCTGTTTTCTCTTTTTTCTTTTCCAGAAAGTAAGACAAATGTCTACCATTTCTGATGTTGATCTCATTAGGACATAATGACATACCTGACTCATTGGTGTTTTGTATCTTCTGCTTTCAACTACTGTGCACAGACAGGAAAAATAGACAAAACACCGGTATTTGATATTTTAGAGACTGTTTCTCCCTGGGTACAACCTAACTTACTGTATTTCTTCTGTATAGTTTGGAGGTACAAAGTAACTGTGACCCTCTCTGGAAAGAGTAAAGTAAGAGGATATGTAAATGTTGCCCTGTATGGCAGTGATGGGAACACAAAGCAGCACCAGGTCACCAAGTAAGTTAATTATTCAACAGAAAAGAAACTTTTCTTCTAGAATATTTAATTCATATTTTTAATTAATAATTCTGTTTAAATTGATCTTTTTTTAGTGATTGAATTCTACCACTGATGTAAATGTAGCAATAGTTCACTCACTCTGGGTTTACATTTGAAGGGAAAAGGTTAAAATGCAGGATTTTAAAATGTCAGAATTTGGTGTTGCTTGCTTCCTGTTCCACAAAGGACTTGCTGGACCTGCAATAGCAGAGTTCTGATCTTTTTGTCTTCCACAGGCTTGTAAAATGTTGCCACAGTTGCTTTCAGCTAAAGTTACCTTAAGATTTACTATACAAAAAATCTCCTTTTTGTTGCTCATATCTTTCCTGCTTACACTGAAGCTGCTTCCTTGCCTCTTGTGGTTTTGTTTATTTGCATTTTTCTTGTTTGTTTCAACTGAAATATTTGAAATTATGAAAAATACGGAGAAGGCAATTTGATGTGAGGTTCGGCTTTAATTTTTTGCCTTTTTTACTTATAACTATGTCGCTTCCACTTTTCCAAGGACTTCACATCCTCATGCCAGCAGAAGGTGTGTGCTATGGGCTGATCCCAGTTCGCATGCATCCATGCATTCACCTGAGATGAATCTGGCAGATCTGGCAGTACGGGATGCACTCCAGCCCTCTCTGCCTTTGTAGGACCTGTTTCAATACAGTTGCTGGATGTGAAGTTCTTTTCTTCTCCAGCAAAACTTGCTGTATCCTACCAGGCACCACTGTAGATCCAGCAGAGGAACAAAAAGGCAGATGGATTTTGTCCTATCTCTCATTACTTCCACTACCATAAGCCTTTTAATATGGAGGGGAGTAAACATTCTCCTCTGCAGGCAGATGCAGGAGTGAGTACAAAGCTAGGGGGAGGAATGAAAGTCCTTTCTCATGAAGCTTGATAAAACTATAGAGGTTTCTTCTGGGTGATTCATTCAAATGTCTGCTGACAGGTGTAAATTTAAGAAAATAGAGTGTGGGTCTGAGAGAGAGCAAAGAAAAGGATTGGAGAAGTATTGGCTAATGTTCAGTGAGATGTAGTAGCTGAAGCCTTTACCAGTCTCAAACTGCTGTCATTTAGAATTTGCTCTATTGGTGCGATATGAAGCAAGTAGTCAGATTATAAACCAGGGTCACCAGGAGTAGATGGCCATGTTACTTGGCCACAGTGTCGGAATCTCTGCTAGACAGCCAGGCTGAGCAGCTAGTAGATAAACCTTCTGCCCATCTCAAACAAACCCAACATCTGTATCATATAAATTAATGAGCATTCAATGAAAATTTCATCTATATGCAAAAAAATCCCTTCCCCACATAAGCAACAGGGAGCGAGCTCTTCCTACCTCCACAGGGATTATCCTCTAACTGGGTCCTCACTGTGAGGGGTGACTGCAGCATACCAGGCCCACCTGCCTCTGAAAAACACTGGTTTGGGATGAATTAAGCTGGAAAATTGGCAGTAATGTTGTTACCACATTATATGATAAATATTGTCTCTCTGTTAATTCTCATTTGATACCACAGCCAAGCCAGTGAGAGGACTGGTAATTAATAGTAAATGCTGGCATGCCTCACATCCACAAAATGTTATTTTTCACAGGGGAACCCTCCAACCAGACAACACTTACACAGCCTACATCGATGCTGAAGTTAATGTTGGAAAAGTTACAAAGGTTAAATTTCTTTGGAACAACAACTGGATTAATCCAACTTTGCCTAAATTAGGAGCTTCAACTATCACAGTAGAATCTGGACAAAATGGAACACAGTAAGTATATCCATTGTGAAAATCTTGAAAGTTACTTGAGAAGATAGGTGACAAACTTGTAAGTGGAGTGAAAGCCTTTTCACAACAAAAGCTATTTGAAGCATTAAAAGAAAAAGACCCTCAAGAAAACCTTTTATTTTCTTCCTTTCAAGACACTGTTCATCCATAGTTTGATTCACTACTACTTCAAGCCTTGTCCTTAAATAACCTGAAAGAAAAACTTAAAATCTTTCCAGGCTTTAGAAGAGCAAGCTTCCACTCTTTGGGTGAGAAAAATTAGTGCTGGCTGGATTGTCAGCATCACTCTTGCCAAGCTCCACAAGAACTGCTTGTTTTTGTGTAAGATCCACAGTCAGTTGGGACCAGCAGAAGTATTCCATTGATATATATGATCCTTGAGGTCATGATTGACAAAAGAGGATGGTGAAAATAAGCCTTCCAATGAGGACTAGTACTTAGAGCCTGCACTTAAAGCCTCTATATAAAATTGAAGTAAAGAGGCTAAAAGTGATTGCTCTGGACTTCATGGAATATGGCTTGGATGTTCAGATTACAGAGGTAGGATTTACTGATCCATTTTTTTCCTGGACTTTTAGTAATTAAGTCCCTCATTTGCTTGTTCAGTTATTTTATTTTATTCACCCCATGATTTGGTATCTAGAACAGGAGGTACAGTGTAAGTTTTAGACCCATATACAAATGCACAGTTAAAATTCCATCACTTAAAAGACAACATGGGAGATGAAAACAATTTCAAGCAAAGGGAAGTGATTACAGCCCACTTTAACTTACCTTAAAGCAGAGGTTCTAGGTCCAGTTTTAGTCTCTATTCACCAAAGCACATCACTGATGAAGCGTATTCCTGTAGATAGGAACTCACTTTTCTACTGACTCGTGGCCTCTGTACAAGTAGTTGTGGTCATCTACATAGTGATGGTAGCACAAAATCTGGAAAAGAAAAAGAAACTAAAATTAAAGGAAGGCAGGCAGTAAAGCAGAATGGACACAGTCTATCAATGCTTTCCCCAGCAGTAATATTTCAAACTTAGATGCTCAAAGTTTGTTCTGTCCATTTGTGTCAAATGACAAATCAGGTTGACTTACATTAAAACAAATCCACTTGTATAATCTCAAGAAATGTTGACAACTCAAGGTGCTTGCATTTATTTCTTCTTCAGATACCGTTTCTGTGGGTCCGACAGAGTGAGAGAGGATGTTCTGCAAACTCTTACTTCTTGCTAACAGCACATATGGATGCCCAAAACCTTGCTACCAATAAAAGCTACTCTTGCAGAAAACACTGGAGTCTGCAGTTGTAATACTGATGATATGTGGGGGTAATTTTGTTTGTTTGGGGGGTTTTGTTTGTTTGTTTTGGCTTTGGGGTTTTTTTGGTTGTTGTTGGTTGGTTAGGGTTTTTTTGTTGTTGTTTTGTTTGTCTGTTTGGGTTTTTTGTTTGGTTTTTTGTTTGTTTGGTTTGGTTTGGTTTGTTTTTTTTTTGCTAGTTTGGGAGGCAGAAGTTAAGTCTGTGGATATCTCTCTATAGATAGAATTTTTTTAATAGCTTTAGGAGCGAATGAGCCAAAACCTGTTAAGTGTTCCCCTGCTTTCAGCCTGTTTTGAAATAACTTCAAACCAGAGGAGGAAAGGGGGAGGTACCAGAATCTGGATAGTGGCTCCTGGGCAGTACCAAAAGAAAGCAGATCTGCTTGTGAGTAAGAGGAGTGGATTAAGGAAGCTGACATTCTTAGTCAAACTGAAGGCTAAGCCCAGAATTAGCACGAGATAAAGATGAAAGAGAGATAGTAGGGGAGGGTGAGAGGTTACAAAATGAGGACAGAAGTTTAAGTTTAATTACCTGTTAGAGATGGAATAGTCAACTTGATGGAGAATTGTGAATGTGTTTTGGGGTGTTAATGCTGAACTGAGCTCATACCATGCCCCATCCCTGGAAGTTCAAGACCAGGCTGGATGAGGCTTTGAGCAACCTTTCCTAGTGAAAGGTGTCCCTGCCCATGGCAGGTGGGGTCTGGAACTAGATGGTCTTTAAGGTGCCTTCCAAATCAAGCTCTTCTAGGATTTCTATGACCTAAACAGAATTATTTTGAGAAATCTGCATAGAAAATTTCAAATGTTAGTGAAGTTTCACTGAAATGCTTATAATCATAACAATCTCCAAAGTATCCTGAAATCCCTTATGCTGGGCCTCAGCCTTGAACAAAACTGCCAGATGATGGGATCAAAACAGGCAATGCGATGAGAGGATCGGTTCTTTCCATGCTTTCTGATAAACAGATTCAGCTGAAGTGTGGAGAGTTCACGAATTCATTTCTGACCCTGTCTCAGCTCCTTCAGCCTGCTGCTGGAGAAGCCAGCTGGATTGCCTCTGCTGCCAGAAGTAGTCCATCCTCACAGAAAAGATCCCACAGAACTGATGGAGATGTACCACTACACAGATCTAACGGTCCTGGGGACCTTTCCTGCAGTTTCTTCTCAGGTTCCCCAGACTGGGGCACTCTGGTCTTTCTGCCTCTCTGGTTGACCTTTCCTCCCCCATAACATCTTTTCCTGAAGGACATCAACCTCCCAGCAAGGCTTTAGATTCCCTGTGCAGTGGTGGAGGTTGAAACCAATTTATTCTGTGTTCGAGCACTACTCTTTCAATATAGAAAAAAATAGTGTTTCTTTTTTATTCAGTGCATTCTGCCAGCTCTTGGAGGGAGATGAGGGCTGTAAAGAATAGAAAAGGGACCATCATCAGCATTGAAGATTAGCTATCTGTGGCCATGCTCTGAGCTGGAATAAATTCCTTATGTAAAACCCAAACTGCTCCTTGCTTTAACACAACTGAAGATAATATCTTCCAGCAATTTCAGTTTTAGTCAAAGATGTGTAGGATTGCTTTTATGTTTAAAAACTTTCTAAATTGCACTTGTGCCTCTTGCCCAGATTAAAAGGCACTATTTGGTTTAGATTAGATACAAGGAAGAAGTTTTTTACTTTAAGAATGGTAAAACACTGGCACAGGTTGGCCTGAGAGGTGGTAGATGCCCCATCACTGGAAACATTCAAAGCCAGGCTTGTCAGGGCTCTGAGCACCTTCGTCTAGCTGAAGCTGTACCTGCTTATTTCAGGGGCGGGGAGGGGTGGTGAACTAGACAACCTTTAAAGGTCAATTCCAACTCTAACTATTCCATGATTCCACCCAATTTTGCTCCCTCAGGAGCATAGTATTATTGCCTTAAGAGACCACAGAAAACAGGACTCCGAGCCAACTTAGTGGCTCGGATAAGAGATCTCTGAGTCTCTGAAACCTCACCCTAGGTAAGGTACCCAGGTAGAGGTACCCAGGGTACCTATACATATATGAAATGCTAAAGGAGGCTCCCCTTGCTATGCTGTCATAGATGTGTGGGGTATTAAAATGCTAAGCCAATTTCTTGTCCAACTTCCTTCAAGAGGAAAGAACAGATGTTTTTTACCCTGATGATATTACTTGATTATTCCCCTTCTTACATTGCTTCTCTCCCTGTGCAGCTCCTCACGGCAGCAGCAAGTGCTGCAAGCACAGAGCAGAGTTCTCTTTGTGTGTTTTCTTCCCAGTCTACACTGTCCAGGAGGATGCTTATAAGCTGACACTTATTTTGGCTCCAGTTTTTTCCATATGTGGTCAGCCTTATAGTGGTAGAATATTACAATCAGGTTTAATAAATGCAAGGATGTGAATTGTTTGTCCTGCACCAGGCTGTGTTAAGTCCAGCTCTGCATTGCTCCTTCAAAGCCTTTCTTGGCTCTCCATGGCTGCAGTTGGGCAGGAAGAAGAGGATCCGGCCACAGGACTCTAGAGGCTTTCACATTTCCTTCGTGTCACCAGTTCTTGGAAGAACACACATACCCTATCCAGGGAGATGAACAGTGGCAAGTTTACACCCAGCCATAGACACAGGAGCACCTGATGCTGGGTTTTCATGTACCTCACACCCCCCTGACATTGCCTACTTCCTTCTGCCTTCACTGTTTGTCTCTTCCAGGCACTGGCTTCCTGATCTCGGTACCTCCTGCTGAGGAAACCTCAACAGGGTTATTAACTTCCTAACACTGTAGAAGAGTTTCTCCTTTGTCTTTTGTTCCATTACCTTGGTATAAGCAGATTCTTGCCTACACAGTTGTTTTGACAGTTACGATATTCTCGGCATTATCCTTTGCCATAGCCACTTCAGCAACCCATGTAATTTTAACAAACACCTAACAGAATCAAGACGTTAAAGTTGACAATAGCATAATAAAAAATCTCCTTTTAATAATGAACTGGAGCTGCCGTCATCTTGGTTTAGCAGAGCAAAATCTCCCCCCTCTGAACATTTTACAAAGCTATTACATAAAATGCAATGTTAAATGAACAACAAATTACTTTCCCTTTAGCTAGCTTTTAATGCTAATGGTGCTATTTATTCCTGACCTTTTGAAATATTAGATATTTTAAATGACAACATAAAAAGAATTCTTGTTTGAAAACGCGAGCGACTTTAAACCACATGTTATTACTTGTAAGTATAGCATGCACATGCATCATTCATTTCAGTGTCCCACTTATGGCTAATTGGTATATATTTCAGTTGACATATATTGTTCTCCTGCAAATGTGTCAAATTCCTTAACGATGTTGGTGACAAAAGCAGAACGCTTGAGATATATAAATTACTCTCTTTACCATATAATCATTCTTATCTATTGGGAATGCTATTTGTGACAAATCGTGTTCAAAAATACACACTAAATTGATTATTTTTTTTTTAACTTTAATATCACACCATTCATGGCAAGTCTTTGATTGAATCTTTAAATGTAGGAATGTTTTGATTTTTATCTGCATCATTTTGTAGCTTTTGAAAAGCTCACTTTATTTATTAAAGGAAGAGTAGCACAGTGAGTATCTCAAAATGTATCTTTTGTTATCAGCATAAGAAAACAAATGGGCTATAATTGTGGACATAAAGTGAGTAATTTGGTGAAAAATGCTTTGTGCTGTAGTTTAGGTTTTATAATTCCTGCCAGAAATTACTATTATTTTGTTGGTGGGCAGCATCGCAATCAGAATTTTAAATATGGGAACAACTTGGGCCACGTATTTTTATTACACTTGAGATTACCATGTGCGATGCATTTTTCTCCTATATTACAAATCATCTGAGAATAATTAAAAAAAAATAAATTGAAGATTTCATGTGGCTCTAATTATTACTGAGATATACCAGAGCTCATTGTTGTCTTTAGACAATGCTGTCCACAGTCATTACTTTGTTCCGTAAATCAGCAGGATAATGAGGTTCTATCTTTCAAGAAATATTTGAGCGTATCTTAATTTGGCATTGATGAATTCTCTTTGCTGAATCTCTTGAGGGGTTTTTTAATCTAGTTTGTCATATTAGAGCTTTCATCACTCGGTCACAGCTGACAGTGTAATGTACTTGTATTTATTTCCATACCTTCCTGGGATGTGTCCTCAGAGGTTGCAAATAAGAATTTTATGATGTTATGCCTTGAAGGCTAGTCTTTCCTTAGTTTGAGTGTAAATCCTAAGGTATTTTGCCATACCCTCATACTTCAGAAATATATACTATGTATGGTTGTATTTAACTGTGGAAAAACAAGTCTAAATTTGTTAACAACTTGTTACTGATATAAACTGGGAACAATTTCTTTGACAAAAGACATATTTACTAGAACAAAATACTTTTTTTGCCAAAGAAATTATGTAAGTTCAGATACTCATTTTTTTTCCTCTGCAAATCCTCTCAAACTTGAAGACAAGAAAAGGGTAAGATGTGTCCCCTTTCTTACTTGGTCAACTCAGGAGTCTTAGCAGAGGGCAGAGGAAGAGAGGGTCAATGAGATGTTCCACAGCCCTGAAAGAAAAAATACTTATAGTGACCTCCATGACACTTACTTCTAAACTGTGCCTATATACAAACAGAAGCAAGAAGCAAAGTACTCTTTAAATTATGTCTAAATGTTGTATTCAATTACACAATAACATTTGAGTGGCTACTACACTTGCTGGCACCTTGAAGACACGTGAGACCCGAAGACAAAAGTTGCATTCAAGTTCCTCTTTGTGCTGTGACCCATGGAATTATTGATGTGGCACACATCCTATGGAAAATCTTACCTTTAATTGCATTATGTAGGTAATGGCTTCACATCTCACCAATTACGGAGGTAAAGGGGAAAAAAAGGTGGATCTAAACCTCCACAGTAATGCACTTCTTCTCATAGTAATTTATATTATTAAAATTTTTATAACCTAAGTCTCCCTTTCATGAAAAATAACAGAAATGAACATTACTGGTGGCTTGAGTACCTCAGTTTTGGGGTGTGAAGTTCCAGAGGTTGGATTCCTCTGGGAGTCCTGAATATCTTCTTTGGAGAGTGAGGTCTGCCCTGAGTGTGGTACCATTGCTTGCTTAGAAGAGGCTCTTCATTAAGGAGGAATATAGTCATCACCTTCATTACATGGAATGCAAAACACAAAGTAAGCATGTGTATGTTCCTGCCTGAGGTGACGGAAGAGCAGAAGCCATCCCCTCCTTCTCCCAACACAAAGCACTCTGTTTGCTGGCCACAGCCTGAGTCAGATGACAGAAACTCCCACAGGAACTGCTTAACAATAAATAACACAAAACTCTTGGTTTAGGCTGACAACCTTTTCTGCACTGTCCTTAATTCCTTACTCAGAAGTCATCAGGAGAGGTGTGAAAGAGGTTGTCCACCACCTGCAGCTCTCACCAAGGTGCTCTCCGTTCCTCAGGGGAGTCTGTGGCCTGACCTCACATCTCTCTCCAACCTTTCTCCTCTCCCCTTTGCTTGCAGTTTGGAAATCAGTGCCTCTGTCCATTTTACACCCCTGGAGAGGGACAGTAAATTTAGTGGGGAGTCAGTGAGGAGACTGTGTTTGCTCCCTCTGCACCCTCATTCTGCAATTATCCCTCTCCAAACCTGCGTCTCCCAGAGAACACAGGGAGGGTTTGGGAAAGAAGGCTTCTGCCCTTCATTAAAGAGAGACTGTAGGTCCTCAAGCCTTTGCTTTAATCCCAAAAGGCATTAAAATATCTTTGCTGGGTCATGAAAATCAGCCTCTCAGTCCCTCCCACCGAACCTGAATTACAAACCCTCTCCCGGTGCCTGTGACAAAGAGGTCACTGAAGGGCAGCTCCTGGCACCACTGTGCCATCCCTTGCTGGGCTGGAAGGGATGGCAACACAGCAGCAGAAAGGAGCATATCTTTGTTGCAACAGACCCTTGTTGGGGATTAAAAACTTCTTTTTAGGCAAGGAAAATGTTAAGAGTGAAAAGTGACTGAACTAAAGAATAATTCTCCTTTTGACCCATAGAGAAAGAGGTGCCTAATGAAAAGATATGATCACGGACAGTGTGAAGATAACTGTCTGATCAGATAATGGAATTGTTTTCAGTGATAAGAATGAATCCATTACTAATGCAAATAACGATAATAATTATAATTTGCAATACAGTAAAAATCACCTAGTCTACCTCCTCCTCTGACAGGAGACTGTATAATAAATTATAGGCTGAGAAAAAAAAAATCAAAGGGATAAAGGTTAAAAGATTTTTAAAAATTCTGAAACTTAAATGCTTATCAGGGAAGTCAAGACCTGAAAGCAGAAATTGGTGCTATTAAATAAAGCAATTGTGAAGAATGAGATATTATGGAATTGATTAACAAACCAGAAACCAAGCATTTCCTCATATCACTACCTCTTGTCACAAATTTCAATAATTCTGAAAGAACAAAAAATTAAGAGTTGGCATATAACAAGGAAATTAATTATTTCAATGTAGGTGAATATGCTAATAGCACTCTGGGAAGATGAATATAACTTAACACACAAAAAGCCCCCAGAAGATTCAATAAATTTGAGGAGTTTCACCAGTTGTTTTTGCTTTGCTTTGGTATCCAGACCAGGTCCAGCTGTTCCCTCACTCCCAACCAGGACTGCATCCTCAGACAGGGCACCTCTACCAGGCAGCGCTTTTAGGGTTGTCTGGGCATGCCAAGATGCTCATGCCAGCTCCATAAGCTTTGTTCATGTGAGGGATTGGGGGTATGGAAAAATGCTTAATTTCACCTTGGGAGGAACAGAATAGGGCAGATGAAACAAATCTTGCATGCAGAGTTTGCACAACAGTGAGCTGTTCTCTTGTTCACAGAAATTCTCTCTTGGTTAAGCAGAGAGGAAAGAGTGATAAATAAGGTTCATCATTCACTGCTGGCATCACATCAGTCATACAGTTTTAAGTGATAGAATATTGGGAATCTACCAAGAGGTCATGAGATTCTTCCACACCCATCAATTTCGAGTAAAGTAACAGCTATTAAGTGACAGAGTCTAAAGCACTGTCTTCCAACACTCTTCATTTAGATCTTCATTTTCCAAAGGACATGATGTCCCATAACAGCCACATAGAAGATGCCAGAGATTTTAATGACAGGGGGAGTGTAAGGGAGACTTAAAGACCAGAGGTGCTGACACCTAGCCAAAAGTAGGAATGACTACTGGATTAAATTAGCCTTTAACCTCAGAGTGGAGCCCCATTTTCTGTGGCTGGAGTATTTTCTAGCATTTTAAATTCAGAGTAATAAGCTCAGTCTATCCTGCCTAAACTTCCCCAACAAGTCATTCATGAAGATACAGATTTCTCACACTCCTCGAAGATTTTCATTGCAGCATTTTTCATGTAGCTCAACACACTTCAGGTCAGCAAGGCATGACATTTCATTGTTTGTTGATGCTTCATCAGGGCTGTTTCATAGTGAGATGTACCCAACACAAGCCTTTCATGTGTATGCACACAGAATAACCTTGGCATCAGTTTCCAAATCTCCTTCCAGCAATAAGATACTGATCTGCAAGAAATCAGCACCCACTGCCAACAGAGCCATAAAAGAAAGATCATAGGTCTATAAAATGTGATTGAAAGACCTGGGGTTTAATTAAAGATTTAGACTCAGGGCATGCATGAAACTAGTCTTCAGATATGTCAAAAGCTGTCAGAGCAGGAATGGGATGAAATGTTCCCATGTTCTTTAGGGGCAGGACAGCCAGAGAGAGTCAAAGCTGACATTATGTAAGATTTTAGACAGGTGAGGACAGTGAAACACAAGTCAACTGCCCAAGCAGGCAGCATCATTGCAGGATCAGAAAGTTTAAAACCAGACTAAATAAAAGTTGGGAGTAGTTTAGGCAGAACTAATACAGTTTTGCAGCAGGACAGTGATATATGATTGATGTCTGAGGTCCTTTCCAGCTACATGGATCCCTGTGATGCTCTGACAGAGAGGCAGTTGCAGTCAGCAAAATACTGGATGGATCTGCACAGAGATGGAAAAGAAAAAAGGGGAAAATATATATACTGTACACTATGTACTACCTGACTCTGAAGGAGAGAAATGAAAAATGCTTCTGTGGGATGTGATCAGTGTGGTTTGTCAGCATCCCCTCAGTCCTGTAGCATTCTTGGTGTGTGGCACTTCTTGATCTTCGATCTCATGTGTTTCACCCCTAAGACAAAACAAAAGAGCGACAACGTTATTCAAACGCTTTTTGGAACACCCTCAATCACGTACCTGATATTTCAACTGCCTTACACAATTATCAGACTGAAACACTGACCTTGTTATCCTGAGTTGACAAAATATCTATCCTCCTGACCACTGAGTTCTACAACTAAGGACTTTTCCATGGATAAGGCAGCTAGCTGAGTGTTCCCAACACCCTACAGACAGTACTGCCATCCAGGACCCCTGCTTACACAAGGAACATCGGGAGAAATTTATCTCAAGAAGAATGCTGTAATGTTTTTTGTGGAAAACCACACTTAGACACAAGAACTCCTGCATATATCATCCAGGACCAGCATCTTTTCTGCTGGATTCTGCTCTGCTCACAGTTAACTTATTTCAACTCCTCTCATTTTGAGGAGTCAGTTGTCATCTAGGTGAAGTGTTGGTGAGGGGTCACGGGCTGAGAAAATAAATCTGATTGTCACTAGATGAAAAGTAAAACCTCTGAACAACACACTGAACTGCAGTGCTTTAACTGCAACCTTGTGTGTGTTTGAGCAAATACACAGGCACGGCATGCAGGGTGTTTGTTGTGGGAAGCATCAGGGCAGCACTGAGATTGCTCTTTGTACTACAGAGGAAGAGGATATGTTCAGTCTGGTGTCCACTCTTATCAGCTGATGGCAGACGGAAGTTCCTACTAGAGGTGCAGAGCTTACTCCTCAAAGGGAAGGAAATACTCCTTGCTGCCCTTAGGAAAGGGAGAGTCACCTTTCTAACTCCTTAGATTACCGTGGTTAAATGAACTCTGCACTCACAGTTCTCAATCTCACCACTTCTTTCTGTTTTGAAACCTTCCCTGATCTTGTTACTGCCGGAGCACACCAATGCCTTTGTCCTAGCAGTTCAAAATCCTGCTTGCACACTGATTCTTTCGGTCTCCTTACACTCAATCTGGTATCGTCCTCTTTTTATGTCTTGGCTCTGCTGCAGCACACAATATTCCCAGAGTAAGCTTATATTGTATTTTTCATTTCTCCATGTTTGTGTCAGCTCACCTGTGGACACGGATAGAAGGATCATGCTGCAATCTACCAACTTCTTAATTTTTTTGCCATCCCATGGTAGTGAACACCATGTCAGAGTTCAGTAACTTCTGCTGTGGGCACAAAGCCAGAGGTCCTGGGATATGGTGTCTAGTAAACCTTTCCCTATTTTTATAGTCTCTGAAAAATTAGAAAATAAGTACTACTTTAAAATTATAGGCAGCACCCACTCAATTGTATGTTAACCAAAGACATTACAGAATTTCTCAGTTTGCAGAA